TTCGCAATGTCGTGATTCTTCGCCCCAATTAGCTTCAAGATGAAAAGAAATATGACACGCTGCGAAATAAAAGTGAATTGGAAAATAAACAATTCTCGTTACATAACGTACGTGTTTTGAGGAAATTGTAGCCAAAATTGAATTAAACTGTAATTATTTGACATATGAGAAACTTATTTTTCGACATGCTGGAATTCTACTTCCATTTTAAATTAACGAGTCCTTCAAAGATATGACTGAAGTACCTCTCTTGCATTCAAGTACGACTGTGATCCAGATTTAGTACATAACCACCGTCGGATGAAAGGAAACTCGATTTAGTTAAGTCTTTTAAGTCTCCATAGAATTATCTTCGCATACTAAAAAACTCTCATCAATTTACAGACTCTGATTTTTCTTTTTTCAAGTTCTGAAGGTAGACACCCCATAGATTTTAAGTATTATTAAATAGTCGCAAACTTTCCCGCAAATTGCATTTTACTGAGTGAAGTCCTAAAATTGTCACTAACACTTTTTTAATATAAAATCACCGCCAAATTTCCGGCTCAATTCAGCCTTGCAGGCAGCTCATCTAATTACCGGCGCCACAATCATAACGGTTATCGCTTCTGAGTGAAATTTGATTGTCACAGGTTCTAATTGTAATTTATTGCTTTTGTCATCTATACTTTTGCTTCCTACGAGTGGAAAATAATGCCATCAATGTCATGAAACGGAAACCAGGGGCGTCGTTCGCATTTGCGGCGCGCCTTCCGTTGTCGATTTCACGGCCCGCCCCCTTTTCATTTGCATGATAAGCGAATAGTCGAGATACGCCAAGAAATATTCATCCAACAGCGTCTATTGATACACCACTGGATGGTTATAATTATCATATTTTCCATTTGTAGGGCTACTTAAGGAGCTTCCAAGCGAAAGGGAAGGTTATTCTGCAGAGAGGGAGAAGGGTGAAGGAGGTAACATTAGCTGTCTCTCACAAAAAGGTAAGATTTACTGCCTACATTACCGGCTATTTTTTTACAGAAAAAAAATTCAAAACACCGTTCTTTGACTAAACGAAACCAGAAGCCAAGGTTAAATTCTTATTTCTATTTTATTTTTGTGTTTTTTCAATGTCATGACAAAACAGTTATTGTGAATTTAATGCACTATTGTATTTGCAATAAGAACAACAGAATTTTCTCACCCAAGTCCGACAAGTTCTCAATACTTTCACTTTAAAAAGCCACTCCATAATTGATGTCACCCTTTTAGTGTTTGTCACATTATTTTGCAAAAAAACCCAATAAAACAATACTTCTAAAATCCAAAAGTACAACCGTTTGCATTCTAATGCCACTAAAGGGAAATAAATAATTTATGATAAACTCTAGAATTCGACAATTTTTCCAAAGTTCATTTGCGTGAGTTGCTCATGCCCTAATCAATTTCAAATGGTGGTTTGCAGTTCTCAAGTTAAAAACATTTTCTATATTATGGAGGAATGAAAAACCTTTTTAGTGTATCAAAAGGCTAGGGTTCCAAACCGCGCTCTTTTTTTCTTCGGTAAATTGTTGGACTTGTGTGAGTTTTAAAAGTTACTAAAGTTCATCGGAATACGGCCGAGGTTGGATGTCAAGACTTTTAGTGAGAGACAATTGTTTAAAAAAATTGAATTCGCAAATGCGGACTCATTTAGTTTAAAAAAGCAAAACAAAGTAGCTTAACATCGATCTAAAAATTAAAAAGCGTTCATTTTTTCACCCCCATTAGATTGTACCATTTAATCCTTACAAAAATAGTCTCTATCAAAGCTACTGCTAAAGAAGTATGAGTGACTGTATTATTTAACGAGAATTTTCGACGTATTTGACACAAACATTCCTTGATGGAAAGAAAATAGTGAATAATGTTTAGTTCCTAAAATGATCAGAAAAGAGGAGTTATATTCGTAATTTTTAATTTTCTTTAACGAAATCATGAATTATACTCGAAACTTGGCGTGACTTGCAGTTGAACGGAGCAAATGGAAGAGTAGAGGAGATTGAAACCGAGCAGAAGCAGTTTAATTTTGGTAAAGATATTAGAACTGGGCATAATTAGTTTAATGCTGGAAAAAATATTGGAACTGGCCATAAGCAGTTAAATGGAAAAAATATTGGAACTGGCCAGAAGCAGTTTAATGCTGGAAAAAAACTGGAACTTGGCATAGGCAGTTTCATGTTGGTGGCAAAATTGAAACTGGGCACAAGAATATTAATATTGGTAGAGATGTTGGAACAAATATAAATTTGGTAAGAATTAAGTAATAACCACAATTTTCTTTTCTTGTAAACATACTGTGTTAATGATAAAACACCTTTATAGTTCTTAAATCTTTTAAAACTTAAACTGAACCTTAGTTTTTGCTTTTTGCAAATGCCTTTTCAACACAATAATAAATAAATCAACGCTGTATGTCATTATAGATGAAATGTTTTGACAAGCTTCCGCTTTTCTTGGAGTCTATAAAAAGGGTTCTACAAACATTTGCTATTTATGGCGTATAATTCCAAAACATGCAGTTTAAAATATCATCACATGATATGACAAGGACTCTTTGTTTCTACTTCCTTACGAAGTGTGTTTGTTTTTTGGTTTTTTTTTTAAGTTTTCTTTAAATTTGTACCTTTTTCTAATATAATTTTTCCTTTTCATCGACAAAAGTAAGACCATTATTTTCATTCGTATGCCAAAACTTTCAATTGTCTCACTACATCGTCATTTTTCCATTAGGAACGATCATCAATAATTGCGTGCAACAAAATACAGCAACGAAAAACATGTCTTTTGCGTAAACGAAATTGTAATTAATCTTTGTTGTGAAAAGTGAATTATTTCTCGTGCAAGATGTACAAATGATATCCGCCCTCCACAATTACCCTTGAACCGATAATAACCTTTTCCCCTCCAGCTGCTATGCTGTGCATTTGTTAATAAATTAATGAGGGCTTTCGACGTGACAATTACCTCTCTTTGGCTTATATTTCGTCTATTTTCAAAACACGTCAATCAGCTCGTAAGATTTAAGTGTTTAGGGCCAGCAACATTGTGTGCCAAATCCTGTTTTCAAAACACGATCGCCGGATATATTTTCCTCATTTTTTGCAAATTTTTTGTTAATTTAGTTTCTTGGGGAATGATTCTTCGTTTCTTGCAAGAAGGAAAAAAACTATTTTCTGTTGTCCCTACTTCTATTTTACTGATCTCAAAAAGTGTGTCACGAACAAAAATTCTGCCCAACAAATGCTAATTAATCAGCCTGTTCATTTATATTATTTGGAAGTTGTTCGTAACTAAACACACACCAAAGAGTACTTTAAACTCGCTTTTTGTGTGATTTATAACCTTCAATGAAAATTTTATTCATCGTCCTTGCTGTTTGCTCTATCGACTGAGTTCAAAGGGCGCTGTGCTTTCGCTCCCAGATTCCTGTTTCCCCTTTTACCGTTCCCCGTTCTTCATTTCTTGCTCCTCGTTTTATATTCCCTTTCCTCGTTCTCAATTTTTCTTTTACCGTTTTCCGTTTCCCGAACTAGATGTTACTAACATCCTTTGGCTGATTTGTCTTTTTCTGTTTTTTTTTTTCTATTCCTTCTCAGGAAATCTTCCATCATGCGTGGCTTGTTGTTGATCGTTATCATTGCTGTGTTAGCAACGTTTACTACCGGTGGTAAGTTTAAGCTCTAATATGCCTCTAGTTTACATCTTAACTTTGTCAAACTTTTTCTCGATTCAGAATGAATCCAATTTGATGATTCCTCTTCGACTGTTCGCAATAAAAAGCGTTCTCGCTAATTTTTATTGATAACGAAATCCTCTATGTCTGATGCTGCTGGATCGAACGTAATATCTATTTCGCTCTCGCTATTTCTCGATATCAGCGTGAGTTTCATCGTTTAATTTGGTCATATATCTTTTCATAGTCAAGGAACATTCTTATGAACAAAGAGGTATATTTGGAAAGAAGCGTTAACCAGAAATATGTCAGCGTTCGCAGAGTAAAAGGTCTTTTCTCTGAGAAGAACCGCTGAAGATTTGACAAAGGCAACGCGAAGGACGTAAATTCTCCGTTCGAACGATTCTGGAGGGGTGTGGAGGGCGGGAGCATATGTGTTTACTAGAATCTTTCCTCGAAAAGGACATCATTCAATAAGAAGGGACTGGCGGCGTTTTTATTAACTTTTATTACTTTGTAGCTCTTGAGAACGAGAAACGTCAATATTCTCAATGGCGACCTGGGAAAAGAGGTGAGATGGATATTTTTTTATTTAAATTATTCTTATTGTGTTGTCACTGATATTGTTTTTTTCTTTTATCCTCATTTTCGTTGGTGTCAGTGTTTTGTTTTGTCTCTTAATGATAATAATGATGATGATGATGATGATGATGATGATGATGATGATAAAAACAACAACCATAACCAAACAAAAACTCAGAAGTAGCTCTGACTTTAATGGAAGGAACCGACTGGAAACGTTTTTATTAACTTTATTTTATTACCTTGCAGCTCTTGAGAACGAGAAACGTCAATTTACTAATTGGCGACCTGGAAAGAAAGGTAAGATGAATAATTTTATTTAAGTAGTTCTTAATGTGTTGTTGCTGGTGTTATTTTTTTCTTGTAATAATAATAATAATAATAACAATGATGATGATGATGATGATGATGATAAAAACAACAACCATAATCAAAATCAAAAAAGTAATTCTAACTTTAAAAAGGCGAGAAAGCGAATTCAAACCGAAAGGTTGGTTAGGAAGAAGTTCCAAAGATCACTGGTACACTACAAAAAGGTTGCCTTTCGACACCTAAATACCCAAGGAATATAAAGGAATATTTGACAACAACTATATTAAAGGTGGTTAAAGGTGGATATTTACCGAGCTGCAAAATTGTTGATACTAAAGCTGTCAACAATATAACACAGAAATACAATTCTAACTCCCGCAACTAATACAATATTTTCGGGCACAAATCCTAAGCAATTTGCTCGGAGGTGACTAGCAAAGGTTATTGGGAGTTTGAGTAGCCAATCAGAGCGCGCCTTAAACGCCATTTAGTATATAATAAAGCTTGATGTCAAAGAGAGTTACCATACCACCCATCAGCTTATAATGAAAGCTACTGCTAAGAAAAAATTTAACTAATGCTTATGATAAGAATAAAAATGATGACGACAACAATAATTTTTAACCAAGGGCAGTCTCTGGTCCTCTGAGCACCTAGCGATCATCGGACCACCTTTACTTAGCGTGCATTGCAATGTAAATAGCATAACTAAGATATATAACGTGTTCCTTGAAAACGAACATTAATTTTTACAGATGAGACACATTTGCTAGGGAATCAACTTCACGATCTTCAAGGTAATTCAGATGTCTTGCATGCTTTCACGTTGGTTAAGCGCACAAATGTATGAAAAAATTTTAGTTATTTTTTTTGTTATCTACACTTACCTAAGCCCACACTCAGAATGGCTTCAAAATCGCTATCTTACAAAAATTGATTTTGTGAAGAACCGTGGGAGATTTGAAAAAGGCGAACGTAAAGTAAGAGAGCTGGGATGGAGAATAAGGAAAGAGAGACAGTTGTCTAAAAGAGAATGTGTTAGGAACGTGAACTCTCCGTTTTAACGATTCTTGGGGAGGGGGGGAATCGGCGCACCAGTTACAATGACTTTCACTTGAGTCCTTCATCGAAAAGGAAATCGTTTCAAAAGGCAGCGATTTGTGGAAAGAACTAATAAATGAAAGGAATCACACGATGCAAAGTTTTGTCGCTAATTTTCAACGTTTTATTTTCCTCCTTTTTGTTTTTGCAGCTCGTCAGAACGTACAAAGTAAAAATATGTGGCGACCTGGAAAGAGAGGTGAGATGCCTTTTTTTATCTTAAATGTAATTAATACTGTCGTCATCGACGCTGTTTTTATCCTGTATCTTACTGTTGTTGGTTTTAGTATTTTGGGTGGTTTGTTTCTTGATGATGATAATAATAATAATAATAATAATAATAATAACAATAACTATAAAATAATTATAGCAGCATTGACAAAGTCAATAATAAGTAAGAAAGCAATTCAAACCGTGGGTTGGTTGGCAAAATTTTCCAAGATCACTAGTACACTAAAAAACCAATCATTTTTATCCAAAAAGCCTGCCTCTAGATACCTAGATACCCCGGGCTATGGGATAAAGCTTGATGTCCAAGGAAGTAACTATATCATCTATAAACTTACGGTGCAAACCACTGGTCAAACAAAAAAGAAATAATAACAATAATATTAGTAATGATGACAACAATAATTTTAACCAAGGGCAGCCTCTGCTCCTTTGCACGCCTGGCGGTCATCGGGCCGCCTTCACTTAGCGTGAAGCGCAATGTGAATAACAGAACAAACATTTATAACGTGTTCCTTCAAAACAAACATTATATTTCCATTACATTTTTCAGATGAGATACAATTTTTAGGATATCATAATTTCCAAGGTAAGTCAGATGTCTCGCACGCGTTTACGTCGGTTTAGTGTACAAGTGTATGAACAATTTTAGTCATTTAATTTTTTTTTTCAACACTTTCCTTAGCTTCAACCACATATAGAGCGCCGGAGAATCTTAACAATGGAGTTCTCTTGCTTTATTTGGGTCTTACCTTTCACACCCATGTTTATAACTTGTCTGTCTATCCCGCCTTAGTCTGCAGATAGATTTATTTTTCGGAAATTCTGTTTGACCTAATTGGAATTTTGAGGCGTCGTGAATGCACAAATTGGCTTATCCTTATCGTTATCACACTAAGTTTGTCTCTTAGAAGAGGTGCAGGAGGATTGAAAAAGGCGAACGTAAATAAGGTGGACTGGGATGGAGAATAAAAAAAGATAGAGCGCTGACGAAATGGAAATAAAATGTCCAAAGAGACGTGAGGTCTCCGTTCAACGTATTTTGTGGGGTGTGGGAGGGGGATGGGAGGTTGGACACCAATTACGATGGTTTTCACTTGAGTCCTTCCTCGAAAAGAGTATTGTTTAAAAAGATAAGGAATTATATAAAATAAACTATTGGATGTAACGAAACACAAGATACAGAGTGTGACTTTGTTGCTAATTGTAAAGGGTTTTTTTCCTTTATACGTGTTTTGCAGCTCCTGAGACCGTAAAACGTCAGAATAAAAAATTATGGCGGCCTGGAAAGAAAGGTGAGATGACTTTTTTAGTGTAAAATGTAATTGATACTGTTATCGCTAGTGTTATTTTTATCTTGCATCTTACTGTTGTTGGTTTCGGTGTTTTGGTCTTGTTGTTTCTTGGTTAAAATAATAATGACAATACTTATAAAAAATAATAGCAAAAGTGACAAAGAAAGCAATTCAAATCATGGGTTTGCTGGGCAGAATTTACCAAGATTACTGGTATACCACAAAAACAATAATTTCTAACCAAAAATCCTACCTCTGGGTACCTAGATACCACGGGCTATGGGACGTATATTGATATCCAAGGAAGCAACTATACCACCTAATATATAGATTTAGGCAAGCCTAAAAGCGGAGCTCGCATTTTTTTTCCCGCACGTCTCTTCAACAAAACTAAAGCCCCTACTATGGATAAAGTGCGTGGTAATATTAATGGATTTTCATTCGCAACTTCTCCGTATCCGTGTAGAGGACTGACTATAAGATAGTGCCCGTGGTACAGTTGGCCGTGCATGCTAAAAAGTATCACCTTGTACGGTCGGTCGTACGGTCGTACATCCAAAATTTTTCGGCTTGATGGGTTACTACTATTTTGTATAATTATGGGGCTACGCTCTGCGAGCTCCGCTATTAGCTTACGGTGTAAACTATTGGTAAAAAAAAATAACAATTGATCATTGATAATAACTATAGTTTTTAACCAAGGGCAGTCTCTGGTCCTCTGAACTCAGCGGTCATCTGGCCGCCTTCGCTTAACGTGCATTGATTCATGACGTGTTCTTTTAAAACAAACATTACATTTCCATTATATTTTGCAGATAAGATACAAACGTTAGGATATCACAATGCCCAAGGTGATTCAGATGTCCCACATGATTTTACGCCGGTTAAGTGTACAAGAGTGTGAACAATTTTTATTGATCTTCTTTGTTATCAACACTTTCCTAAGTCCCAACCACATTATGTCGAAAAATCTTTACAACGCAACTGCCTTTCCTCAGTTGGGACTACCGCGCAGAGTAATGTGAATAGATTGTCCATCAAAACTGAAAAGGTGCATTTCGAAAACTTTCTTCAGAGTGAAACTTTATTTGGGGTCAATCGTTCATATAAAACTCCGACTGAAAAGAAAAAAGCTTTTCGAGAATACTCACGCTAATGCTTTCATTTTTCTTGTGTATGTGTCTTCTCTCTGCGCATGCCTAAGGGTGCACCCGATCAAATGCCTTCTTGTCGTCATATCCACTCTTTTCTCGCTTCAATTGCGGTTATGAGGATTCCGGGAGCGAAGTATGATTTTCACCAGCAAGAGTGGACATATTTTTAACTGTCTTCTTAAAAGAAACGACTTCAGAAATAACTGAACTAGAAACATTGTTATATTAATATATTCTGCTTTGCATTCAAATCCCTTCCTCCAGGTAAGCAAAACAATTATTATGTCTAGTTTCACCGATTGTTAATTCGTTAGTATTTTTTTTCTCTCTTTTTTGCATAATTCAGCCTCTTCAGGATCCATACCAACTCTAAATGACCAGTAAGTTTGCCTAATTAATACTAAAAAACGCTCCAAACCGCCATTTTCTAAAGAGTGACCCCCTTGTCAAGAATGAAGTTTCTAATAGGCACCCTCTCCCCACCCCCCTCCCCCCATATTATAAACGAAACTGCTGGTATTTACATTTTCTTGAGCCAAGTAGCGTTTCATTGTAAAATATATGGGTATTTGAAGGCCTTTAAAAGTCTTTGTTTTGAATATTGAAGGCCTTTCAGTAAGATTAATGCTCACTAAAAGGTATTTATTCAAGCTGGGTAACAGTCAAATGAAATGTTGCGAGCTGCCTTATGAGGCTTTGATAAGCACCCTCCCCCATCCCTCCCTGAATTTGACATGAAATTTTTTTATTTGTTTCCCAGGAAACAAAACGATCTAGAAACTCAAATGACAGGTAAGTGAAATTGCCGTGGATATAGTGGAAGTGTTAAACTCATTCCTTTTTATTCAAACGACGGCATGTGAATTTGAAAATCAACTTTTTCAAATTTGAGCGGAGTTCTGT